ATATAAAACAAAAAAGTGATCTCAAGATATATTTATACACTTGCTAGCTTATACCATGAAACCTGTGAGAGCCGGAACTCGACAGAACTGCCTTGTTTTTTCTGGGTCTCACAAGTTTTCCGCCTTTGACAGGGTGCAGTCTTGCCACTTTCCTATCACTCTCTATTAGTGGAAAATATTTGAGTTTTCCTTCTCTGACAGGTTTCTGCCTTACACAGGTTCTGGCTTTTGCTGTTTTTACTGTCATATTTCTTCTAAGATATATAAGGAAACTGCTATTTAACGTTCCAAACAGAAAATAAAAAGATGTAATTGGATGTTCGTATAAGTGTATATCCCATAGGAAGTAGAGAAGCAGTGGTCATATTGGATCAATGAAGTTTAACTATGGATACAGAAACCTCTTTTAATGTGGCCCTTCAAAACACAGGGAAATTTCTATTATCTGGGCTAAAGAAATAAATCAAGAAAAGGGATCTTATTAACCAAAGCTAACAGACTTGTGCACTTAATACCTGACTAACACATAAGGCTATCCTGAGCAGAAAATAAAGCATATTTCACTACCAAAAAACAAAACAAAACAAAAACTCCACTTCTGACTGATATTTTGAATTCTAAATCTCTCATGTACTGTCACATGAAAAGAGTGGATGAAATAACTTGGGGACTGGCCAGGAGAGAGTCTTCCCTGAAATCAGTTCTTCTAGAAGCTTCCAGCAGTATAGCATTATCCTCCAGTGGATTCGTGGGCAAGGGGGCAAATCCTGAGAAGGTGAGTGACAAGATAGGGCACAGAGAATGTATGGGAGCAGAGAAGACCATTTGTGAACATGTGTAAGACACTGCCTATTTCTCAAATATTACTACAACGACTTTAAGTGGGGCAGGTGCAAATTATTTCAATTAATGTTATTTCCAAGCCTGATATGGAATGTGAAAACATATATTTAAGAGTTGTCAAAATTTAGCTGTTTTACACAGCTACTAAGAACTTTATCATAAATGTGTTATAATTAAAAACTGAAATACCAGGGGAACATTATTTCTGAAATATCTGTGATAAATTGTATCAAGCATGGCTGTTTTATTTTTCCAAACAAATGAATATTAAAAAAAAATACTGCCATTGAGTCAATTTTGACTCATGGCGACCCTACAGATCTATAATCAACCATAATTAGTGGAGTGGGTAGGGAGATAAAAGAATTAAAGGTTCGTTCAACTTGATCAAGCCGACCACCTCTCAGTTTATTAAAAAACACAACATTTTTCTCAGACTTCAAGAGAAAAAAGTTATTTTACATTAATGCAAATTTCCATACTATTGGGGTCACAAAAATAAGTAACATCCCTATTCCCATGTCTAGGTCTTCAACATTTTGAGAAATAAAACAATGGAAAGCAAAATATCTCTTTCATAAAGGATAAATTTGAAGACAGAGGTATGACAGACAAAATGAGGTTGCATACTGAATCCCAAAATCAGATACTTGGCACCCAGTCCTAAGTAGCACTAGTTAAAGGCAGCCTCACTGAGCACATCATGAAAAAATAATGGAGAACTCCTACTCTCTGAAGGCAGATTAGGTTTCAAAAGGAAGAAGGGAAGAGCTCAGTCAAGTATCCTCAGTTTATTCTTCACAAATTTACAAAGCAGATATGTTATTCCACTTTCCCGGAGCAGAGAAAGTGAAAGGGCGGATGGAGGCTGGAAGATGTACGGATTAAAGGAAACATCAGGAGTTAAGGGAAAATATCAACATCTAACTCAACCCAAACAACACACACAATTACTGAGTTTTACCTCAATAATTTCATAAATCAGTAAAATGTAAAAAGCATAAAGAATCAACCAACTGGCATTTTATGAAGTACAATTAACAGTATGGCGTTTACATTTTTGTAAGAGTACCTGATAGCGTTTTAGATCTGTTTTTAGTTTATATCTTCTCCAAGTTGTTTGTATCAGCCGAGCAGCTCTTGTTTCTTTACGAAGATCCAAAAGTCTTGCACAAAGAAATGACAAATAGGTAATAACCACCTAAGAGAAAACACGAAAGATGGAAACAGAGGAGCAAGAGTGGACAGACAACTAACCATCGTTTTCTGGGACACTATTGGTTAAAAAAACTCCTCTTACTTACCTTTTCATCCGGAATCGTATTTGACATATCTGAATGATGAATCATGGCAGGTATTCCACCAAGGTCTCTGACTGCAGAGCTAATCAATTGAAAATTTTTCTTTTCATTTTCTAGGAGCTCTTTGTACAGTTCTGATGTATTTTCTACCGTACAAGTGAAAAAAGAAAATTTAGACTGCTCTAGCCAAAAATCACAGACAGGAAATTTTTGAAAAGTTCATCAACAAAAAGGGACTAACCATGATCAAATGCTTTAGGAGACATATCCAGAAAACTAGCATCAGATTCAGATGATGAATTTAACACCACTGACCCAGTCTGTGTGCATTCCACAGTCTGAGTAGTACGCTGACATATAGCCTCAAAAGGCACATAGCAAGGATGGTAGTGGTGGATCAAGTAACATAACACACGGCCATCTGAGAAAGCCACTGTAAAATTCTCCACCTAATTGGAAATACCAGAGAAATAATAACTGCATTTAGAGAGTAATATAGATGCCAATGGTTTTATAGTCCAGTAATTTTTTTTATAGGTAAGAAAATCACATTATTTTCTAACAGTACCTAGTACACTGCCATATTCACAACCAAACTCACAATTATAAAATACTAACCATTCCAAAAGTAGAATTTGAGTATAGTATCTTCTTTGGCGCTCTAGTATTTAGTTAAAACATATATTATCCATATATTTGATAATTTTTCTGCTAATAATACTTGTTCCAAGTATAACAATTTACCATATTTAGTTAAATGTACTCTCTATGACTATTCCTGTTTTATATTCCTTTCCAGTTATTTATTTCATCCACGTGTGTCAAGGAAATTGTTTTTTGTGTATTTACATTTAAAGCTACAACTCCTACAGAAATATAGTATCAACCTAACAAATGATTATAGAAAGATCACCTTACATTTTTTCCTCCTGCCTCTTTCTAGTGGAGCCTTGTTGGCATAGTGGTTAAGAGCTACAGCTGCTAACCAAAAGGTTGGCAATTCGAATCAACAAGCTGCTTCTTAAAAACCCTATGGGCAGTTCTACTGCGTCCTACAGGGTTGCTATGAGTCAGAATTGACTCGATGGCAATGGGTTTGGGTTGTGGTCTACCGAGTGGTAAGGCTGTTTCTCTGTTGTCCTTTCCTGCATGGTGGGTTTACCTGCATTTATCTTCATAGTAAATGTGTGATCCTTTGGTGTCCCTGCAGTATGCAAGTGTCGCCTATTAGGGTATTTTTTCTTTCTTACATCAAAAACACCAAACCAAACCTGCTGCCGTTGAGTCAATTCCGACTCATAGCAACCCTATAGGACAGAGTAGAACTGCCCTATAGTTTCCAAGGAGCGCCTGGTAGATTCGAACTGCCAACCTTTTGGTTAGCAGCCGTAGCTCTTAAACACTATACCACCAGGGTTTCTGTGGTGATACATAAAATCGCATTGCATCATACGATTGAGAACACCTTAAGTCAGATAAAATACACTGTATGAGCAACAATATGCTAACTCATTTGAGGAAAAGTTTGCTTACACATATAAACTATTTAAGAAATACAAGAAAAGGTTTTGTACATCAAGTTTAATTGACGTTAGCAAAAATTTATTTAAAGATACTGGGCTAAAACAAAGAAACTTACTTTCTTATTATAGAAGGCACAAACAGCATTTACCCAATCCATTAACAGCTTTATGCTTTCACTGTATTGTTCAAAGGAACCACTATTCCTTTTGTCTTTTTTCTTATTAATGACAGTATCAGAATGGCATGATAGTGTTGACATTGCTTTCTTTATACTCAGCGTGTGTTTTAAAAAGTCAATTTCTTCGTTTAGTTGATCTAAATTAAGGGAAATATCCACCTGAAATGCACAAAAAAAGGATAAACACTATGATATTTTTAACCCACAGAAATTAACCATTTAGATAAACTGTAGAAGTTAATATAACCTCATCAGAAATTTTAAAGAGCTAAGAAAACAAAGTGCTCAAAACGTATACAAAATTTAGCATCAAAAATTCACACATTTTGAAGGCAAAAACAGTCTACATCTTCATGATGGAATGCGTAGTGGTTAAGAACATGGACTTGGGGCCACACAAGCCTGGCCCCATGCAGCTCCTCCACCTCTTATCAACAATGTAACTAACCTTCAGCTTGTTTCCTCACCTGTAAAGTAGAGATAACAACCTACCTTGTAAGGGTGATATGAACATTCAATTAGAATATATATAAAGAAAGCACTTATCACAATTCCTGGGACAGAATAAACTCCAGTAAGTGATAACTATTATTGTTTATCTTTATTTAATTCAAATTGTTTTTATAAATATTCAAAATTGATAAAAAGTCCAAAATGTACCAAATGTTTGATACCTGAAAAGCAAACGCTATTTTCCAAAGCAATGCAAGAGTTTTCTCTCTGTGCCTATCCACGATATTCTTAGATAGGATTATGTTTCCTACAAATGAAAAGACAGTCCATTAACATAATACACATACATATGAATAATCAACTAGGAGAAAAATGTTTTATCTCTACTTAGTTTTTACCATGCTCATCAATTAGTTGAACTCCTCGTGATTTAAGAATTTCAAAAACAATGTCAACATTGTGAATCTTTTGAAGACGGCTTATTGCAGGAATCCTGAGTTTCTTTGAGAGATTCCAGTTCTGTGTGAGAAGTTCCATGGTTCGCCTAGCAGTAAAGGAATTTTGAGATGAAACTGCTATATAAAAACATATATGAAAAATAAATTTCATTTAAATATAGTTATTAGCCAAATAAACCCTAAGAGGGTTTTTAGGTCAAAAAGACTCTGAAAAACTATCTCAATACCCTGTTGTTCCATAGTTAGCAAATAAGAGTTATTTCTCATTTTAAGTCTGGGGTTGGGAGGAGGTCTTTGAACCTACGATAATAAAGAAAAAATGGGAGATTTATACACAAACATACACGTAAACAAAAAAGCAAGGATTTACAGATAAAGAAAAAGGAAGGAAGGAAGAAAGGGGAAAGGAAAATGTTATTTATTGAGGGAGCACTACATGGTATTTATTGAGGGTGTATTATATGCTACACATCAAGCAAGTACTTTCTATTATTTTAGTTCTCCCAGCAAATCTCACAAATTGGGTATTGTTATCCCATTTTTTACTAATGATGAAACCAAGCCCCACAAAAGTTAAGTAAATTGCCCATGATCACTTACCTAGTAATGACAGAACTAAGACTTAAAACCCAGTTTTAACAATTTCCAAAGCCATTCTCTAGTATTTTACCAGATTACTGTAAAAATATTTGAGTATCTAATAAAAGAGACACACACCACAGTTCAAATTGAAACTCCTAATATCTAAGCCTCTAGCACTTTCTCCTAGGAGCCCTGGTGGTGCAGTGGTTAAAGCACTTGGCCGCCAACCAAAAGGTCAGCAGTTCGAACCCACCAGCCACTCAGCAGGAGAAAGATGTGGCAGTCTGCTTCCGTAAAGATTTACAGCCTTGGAAACCCGACAGGGCAGTTCTACTCTGTCCTGTAAGGTTACTATGAGCCAGAATCGACTCGATGGCAGTGGGTTTGACTTTTTTAGTGCATTCTCCACCAGACAATAATCGCTATTCCCACAGAAAAAATAAGCCCCAAGCGGTTGTTTAATATAGTTAAAGTTTGCAAACTTTTTATAGAACCATAGTTTCTAAAGGTTACAAAGCTACTTAAAATCAATCTAGGCCAATCACCCAATTAATATATGAAGCATTTCTGCAACAATGACCTGGACCCATCACCCATGACATTAGCTAATTAACCATTCCCAAGTATTATAAAATGACTTCGAAGACCAATCAAACAGTCATTTTGCTGACATCGCACAGAATAGAAATATGGTATGCAAGACCGAGTCTCTTAACTAGTGGACGTTCCTAATCAACTACATAGCATCAACATCCAACCTTGCTAAAGACTAAGTAACTCCTGTAAAGGCATTAAAATGTGTTTCTTTGTGGAAAAACAGCACTCAACATAAAACCAATCACTGTCCTTCCTGGAAAGTGGAAACGGTCTGAAAACATCAATTCTTTTTGGCAAGAAAATAGATTTGGTGGCTTGGATTTATGAAATGAACAAACTAACCAAATATAAAAAATAAAATGTAAAACATTTTCAGCAAATATTCTAATTTGTATGAAAATTTTTGAAGTTAAAGATAGCTACAATAAAAGTTGCAAAGACTATTAACTTCTTGTGAGAATATATGATTAGGAACGAAAAGAATGAACTTTCAAGGAAATTTAATTTAGAAGGAAGCAAAGGACATGTATTTTGTTTTTGAAAAACTGGGGACTCATAAGGTCTAGGGATCTCTTCCTTATTGTCAAAGATTTCCTCCAGTCTAGCCAAGTAGCCCTCTGACCTCTGCTTGAACATTCCAACACTTGGAGCTGGTGTCTTCCTAAGTGTAGATCTGAATACTAGCAAGTTATTAAACCAAACCAACACTCATCTTCCTGAAAATTTCATCTGTTGTTCATGCATGGTTCTTCTGCTTGGTAATAAACAATTTAATCATCTTTTAGCATAGTACAAAAAAAAAAAAAACCCCGTTGCCATTCAGTCGATTCCGACTCATAGTGACCCTACAGGACGGAGTAGAGCTGTCCCATAGGGTTTCCAAGGAACAGCTGGTGGATTCAAACTGCAGACCTTTTCTTTTGCAGCCAAACGCTTAACCACTGAAGACGTTTATTATCCCAGTTTTCTCTGCTATTCTGCAGGCTAAGCATTCATAGTTGCTTCACTGGTCCCCAAGAGACATGGATTTAAGGTTCTCAGTTTACACCCTAAAGATACCTCTACTTCAAACAAAGAAGTTAGTAAGTGTATTCCAAGTGACTTCATTCCTGTTAAATTTTTAGCCAATTTGAAATTTAGCATGCTTACAATATCTTGGCTATAACATATGTAATTTAAAATCTAACAAGAATGTACCCAATTAGGAAAAGAGCTCAGGATATATTTTATGAAGGCTATTATCTCTTTGTATGCCATATTTCAAAGCTTAACTTGCTGTTTTGAGGCTTAACATTTCTGAAATACAGAGAAGCCATATCTTTGCTTTAAAGAAATCTTTTTCCTTGACTCCGAAATGCTACCTTGATGAAGATGTAACAGGTATTCGTAACACTGATGTTACCAATCTGGATACTGTAAAGGGGCCAACCCAGCACCAGGCCAAAGGTCATTCCTTCCAATGGAGGGTTTGGTTACTCAATGCGTTCATTCCAAAGCCAATTTTGAAGATTCCACTTTGTTACCAAGGAAATACGTGATTTGAAGTTAGATATCCTGAGCTGATGTTCCAATTCCACTGTATATGACTTGGACAAGACATTCTATCTTTTCCTCTTAATTTTCCTCGTGTGTAAAACAAGGTTACTACTACTAAAATCAGTCTGAAATGATATGGCACTTGTGAAGCCACTGTAGACATAGTGTATTTCAATGTTTGATATTCTAATTAGTTCTGTGCTTTCTCCAACTCTTGTTCTGGACTTCAGTGGTTCCTACCCCTGGACCCTAGTCACATGTCAGCAAGGACAGAAGACAAGGTTCTGGGCCCAAAATTGATATATTGGCATTAGCTACCTCAAATTTTTAACCCTATATTTATTCCCGTATGAGAAAGAGCAAACAAAAAACCTATTAAAGTACAGAAAAAGGTGTTTTCCTGAAAATTTTAGTCTACTCATTAAACAAATAATTCTATTTCTTATACTTACACGAGACGCACTCCACATTGCAAGTCTACAGCAAGATTTGTAACAGCAAAATCAAATTCATCAAATGGAGTCTGAACATGGCTAACAGGTAGTCCCAAAAAGCTAAGGTGACGAGAAAGGTCACCTTCACCGCTTAGGAAGTCTCGGGAAAAAGCCAGAAGAATTTCTTTACTAGCCTGTGGAAAACAAATGCAAGCATTATAGTCCAATATTATAATTTTATTTATAATAAAACAAATCCTTCAAATCATTCTGTACATATAGAAATAAAATAAAATTAATAGTACTATAAAAGATTACAGGTTTCATATCACATGGCAATAATGCAAATTTCATATATTTTCAATTAAATATTTTTCTAAATATTGCTCAAACTTAATAAAACATTTTAAAAATTAGTATTAGTTTGATAATATATGACATTAAAATTAGGAAAGAAATTTTCCAAGAATTAATTCCTCAGAGGCATAGGTGAGTTCATTCTCAAGTCAAAATCAAGAGTAAGGGCAATACATGCTGGTAAAAGGTCAACTCACAAAAGTCAGGCACAGTTCGAGCCACTGGTAAGAGTCACTAGGTAAAAAAAAATACCAAACTCATTGCAATTGAGTCAATTTCGACTTGTAGTGACCCTATAGGGCAGAGTAGAACTGCCCCATAGGTTTCCAAGGAGGGGCTAGTGGATTCAAACTGCTGACCTTTTGGTTAGCACCCTGAGCTCTTAACCACTGTGCCACCAGGGCTCCAATTCTACTCCAGAGTACTAATCGTCAGGGATTTTATTTTTTCTAAAGGCAAACTGTACAATAAAGGAGAGTAAATATCTTAAATGTGAAATATAAAACATGAGAACTATACCTTGAATTCAGCATCTTTACAGAAGAGACAAGGATCATGATCAATAAGTCTGGAGATTTTAGCGTAATCAAGGAAACAGACCAGCAATAATAACTTTTTCAGTGTAAACTTAGACAAAGCTTCTTCATGACCTTAAATAAAGTACACAAAAGCATAGCAACTTAATCTATGAAAGACAAGGTTCACCTTAAAATAACAATAATAACTGTGTGCTAATAACAAAAAATATAATTGCAAACATAAAACTATGTGCCTGTGCCTAGTGCTTTACACACATGAATCTACTTAATCCTTCTAATAACTCTATGGGGTAGGTACTATTAACATTTCCATTTCACAAAGAAAACAGAGGCACAGAGACATCAAGAGTCTTAGTTGGTCTCATTCAACAAATATTTAATGAGCACCTACTATATTCAAGCACCATCTAGATGCTGGATATACAGTAGTAAACTAAAACAAATAAGATACCCGCCCTCAAGGGGATTATAGCCTAGCAGGGGGTAGAACGTGGCAAGAGACAACACACTGGTGAAAATAGCTACAAATAGTGATGGAAGAAATGATGGCGGATAATGGGGATAAAGGAAGGGTGGGTGGTAGAACGAGAGAACTATTTACATAGTTTTTTTTGAGAAGGTAAACTTTAAATTGATATGGGAAGAACAAGAAGATGTCATTTATGAATAGTGTGGTGAGAAGGCAGCCAGGCAAAAGTACTTACCATCTCTGTAAAGATGAGGGACAGTGGGGTGTCTATACTCAGCTGCTATATCAGGATTCCAAAGCAAGCGATTCAGAATAAACATAGCCAATCCCGTGACATCACTGTTGTCTTCCAAAGATATGAGTTCCCCAAAAACCGTCTGAAAAGAAAGAGCAAAAGTCAGGACTATGTTATCTCTAAGAAGCAAAGAGATGTAACTGGGTAAACAGATGGTGATCTTCTAAGAAACTGGCAATGTTTTATTTTCTAAATTGTATGGGGGTGATGTGGATATTTGCTTAATAAACTCTTTAAACTGTGCATACACAATTTATGAATTCTTCATACAATATATTTCACAATGAAAAACTTCAAAACCTCAGGATTAAGGCATATTCCTAAAAATCATCTAACAAGCAATATTTACTTCTAAATTTTTAACCTTTAAGGTAAAGAACTATCAAATGTAGGCATAGTCTTCAAATTTCATCATAACTGTTCCACAAAGTATATCATTAAGGTACAACAGAAACCTAAATATTCAAAGTGTTCTAATAGTTGCCAAGTGAAAATCCAGCCGCAAATGATCTAAGATACTAATTTGGAAACTTCAGATCTGTTTACAAACAACAGTTTAAATACAAAATTAGTTTAATATCAATATGCTTATTTTGAATAATTTTTAAAACAATTAGCAAAAACTAAAAGCATATTAAACTATATGTTATAACCTTATAGTGAGAAAACAGAGATGAAAGCTTGGGAAAATAGAAATATCTGCCAAAACAGAGAAATTTTACCTCTTCTTTTTGGTCTTTGAAGCTTTCTTAAAATCCTCAAAGGTCATGCCCACTTACTGAATCCTAACGTAGAAACACTAGTGTGGAGGTGAGGGAGAACATTTTATTGTTCGTAATTATTCAGCCCTCCCTTCCCTACCAACTGCCATAGATTTGCTGTGCCTCTTTTGGAAGGATAATACATTCTTGCCTGATGCACACCTGGCCAGATAATGTACTTTGGCCACTGGAATTGGTCAGAGGTGATGCACACTGCATCTAAGCAGAAGTTTTAAAAGGCATTACAGCTCTCTACACAGCTCTCATGATTTTTATCTGGGCCACAAGAAAGGTTATCTCCCAAATTAGGGGAGGGAGTTCCCATTCAATAGAAGCTAATTACTAGATATGTGAAGCAGAGCCAGTTGGCATGTAATCTTCTGGCTAATGAAAGGGAAAAAGCGCCAGAATTAAATCAGGAAATACAAGCAATGCCACTATTAACCTGTGTAACAATAGTAAGTTTTTATTTGTTCTCTCTGCGCCTCAATTTCTTGATACCTAAACAGCAGATGATTGCAAAGACTATTTTCAACTCCAAAGATTCTTCTATTCTAAAACCTGGAATAAGTTAAAATAATTAATGGGATATCCCACATGAGGAAGGTAAGGAGCCTAGAAAAAAAATGATAAAAGAATAGCAGTGAAAAGAAATGGAAATACAGGGGGATTTTTTTTTTTTGAAAAAGCACCATTTAATTCAATTAGTTTTAATTGATATTCTAGGTATTATTGGGCCATGTGCCATGTAACTCAAACCCTGATGACGTTTTTATGATAGTACATCATCGAAATAGTTACAAGGTTGGGCTCTGGCATCAGACTGGTTCAAATACTGACCAGTTATTGGCATTTGGCAAGTCATTTAACATCTAAGCTTCTATGTTGTCAGTGAAGTAGAAATAATACATACCTCACTGGGCTTTGTCGAGGTTTAAATTAGAAAACGTATTTAAAACAGTCTAGTCCCTATCATTTGTAAGTGCTCAAAAACGAGCTTCCTATAATTGTTATTATAACCAGGTCCAAATTACGTTATCTTTAAGAGACTATACTGACAAGTTACTGTGTAACAATATAGTGTAATATATAACAGCATGGCTTATTTACCGAATGAGCAAGTATTAATGGATCTTATATTTTATACTGAAAGATGAAAATCAAGCTAATCAAATGACTCCATCACTTTTACGAGTAAAACCATATGCTATTAAGGAGTTTATTCTGTTAAAAGTACATAAAAATGTATGTTTGTTTTAAAAACTAAAATAGGTTTACCTCTAAGCCAATTCGTAGCCACAAAGGATTATATGACAAAAGCCAGTTTAGGACTTTCTGCCGTTCTCCTGAAACACATGTAAAAAGCAGGTAAGCTCCAATGACTAATCAAATAAGAATGATAAATAAAACTTCATGGAGGGAAATCAGTTGAAAAAGGATACTGCTTATATGAAATAAATTAATCTTGATAAAATATACATCCATTCTTAAAAGCACATATGAACAAATTTAAGTATGTGAGATTGTAGGCAGCAAAGCCAAAGCATATATGTGTTCATTCTGAGATATAAAACCTTAGCGTGTATTTAAAGAACTAATCTCAAGGTTTCTGCAATCTTCTTACCCACATCCTTCCAGAGATGTCTATCTTTTCGAACAATTAACCGTTTAGCTTCAATTTCAATTTCAAGCTTTTTAATGGCTTTAACCAATTTTTCAGAAGTAAATAAACGGCAGGCTGCGCGACGTAATCTATTCAATCTGCACCGAGCAGTGTAAGCTCTGAGAGACATTTCATCTTTTGTAGGCGCTCTAGGAACACTTATTTTATGTTGACTCTCCATTCCCAAAAGAAGAGTAGCAGCATTTACTGAGTAAAAACAAAAGGAAGAATGTTTCTGGTTAGATAATATATGTATCCTTAAATCCAGCAATAAAATGCAACTCAAGATGGCCAAAACCAGAATCTATTCCCTGCTGCCTCCAAGCTTGCTCCTGTCTTTTCACAAAATAAAGGTGTCACCATTCACTCAGTTCATAAATCAATCTATCATTGGATTCTGTTGGCTCCATATGCAAAACGTATGCCGAGTCTGACCACTTCTCACCACCTAACCCACATTAATGAAACAGCCTCCAAAGCAGGTTCTGTGCTCCCGCCCTTTTTATAATTAATAAAAATATAAGCCTCTAAAGAATGTGATTTTTAAAAATCAATTACATTTTGAGATGTAATTTGAATTTTTGTAAAACATATTTTCTCTTAAGAAGGGAACTAAAAATTGGGCTTTGTTTCCTTTTGGAAACAAAGAAATGTGATCTTAGAGGTCGTCTAATCCAAAGGCCCTTTTAATGTAGAAATTCCATACACGAGTTCTCTGGCAAATACAAACCAATCTTTGCTTGAGCACTGCAACAATGGAAATCTCACCATTTAAAAAGATATCCTATGTGATGGGTGGACAATTTGAATGTTTACGAGGATTTCTACTTATCTGGAGTTCAAACTGATCCCTATAACTTCTATGTGAGATCTACACAAAAGTAAATTTCCTTCTCTCTTAGGAGAAAACCCTTCAAATGTTTAAACAGCACCATCTTTCACCATTGTCCCACACCCATCTTCTCTTTTCTAGAATAAACACTGGAATGTTTTAAACACCCTCCATAGCAACTGGTTTTCAGATTCCTTACAATCCTATAGCTTGCCTCCATATCCCTTAAACTATTGTACTTGAAAGTGGAGACTATACCCCAAAAGTGGTCAGGCCACACAGGGATGTTAAGTTTATACATCAGGACATTACACTTTATCAATGTAGCTAAGACTGAATTGAATTTCTTAGCAGCCATGTTTCAGTGTTAATTCTGATTAAGTTTGTGGTAAAATAAAGCCCATTTACCTGAAAGAATGGAAATTGCATTGGCTGATGAGAGAACGAAAGCAAAAAGAAAAAGTAAATTTCAATACTTTAGTACAAAATTCACTAAAAATTCTTAACTACACAATCTTTAGCATTCATGCCAATGAATTAATGAAATATACCATTAACTGTAATAGAATATGTATAATTAAGAAGTGACAAATTCATGTTAAAATTCTGTTTAAACAAGGATATTATTTAAGATACCCATATTTACCTTCAGAAATACTTGTTTTTACAGTGAAGTCATCAGGAGTTAAAATAAAATTTAGCCACCAAGTGAAGCCCTGTTCCTGCTTTTCCTTCCAGCGTTCATCATAAAACATGTTTTTCGCAGCAAATGGCATTGGGTGTCTAGGAATATCTAAGAATACAATTAGGTTATTGCATAAGAAAATTTCCTTTAAATTATTATAAAATATATAGCCAAAGGCCGTTTTCACTAGCAAAACCATCTATCTTTAAAACACAACAATATATGCCTTTCTACCACTTTCTGGAAAGGGTTAAAAGAATGTGAGGTATAAAATGCAATAAAAGAAAAAGCAGCATTAGTAAGGCAGTACTTCTCAGTTATTCAAAAACCTAAGTCATCATGAGTTGACTTCATGAAAGACTGATAGACTATCCTAAGTATAATTAGCATACACACTTTAAAAAATTTTTAAGGCTTTTCTTTTTTTAAAAAAAAAAAAATAGTACCAATTCATTTCCATTCCAAATACAATTACTGCTTCATTTCATGTCAGTTTTTCAGAGAGTTTAAAATAAACACACACTTGCCTGTTTTTAATGGTTTTATGAAGGTCAAATTAGACTGTGCCACAGGAACAATAGATGTAGTCCTCTTGCTTGTTTTAGACCTAGGAGTTCTGTGTACTAATGAATCTAAAATATATTACAAAGCAGAATTAATAGCATTAAAACAATAAAATAAATTTCCCAAAGAAGTAACTGATTGTTTTAAAATTAAAGTTTGAGTCCTCCACATATTCATTTAGCAAACCTGAGCACCTACTATGCGCCAGGCACTATACTATGAACTCAGTGATCTATGAAACTGACATCTGGAAGCTATAGACTAGAAACTACAATTTATTTGGTGTCTGTAGAAGCTGTTGTCCACATTCAATCAATTTACTGTGTGCAGACTATGTGCTCAGTACTAATGATACAAAACTGAAAGATACGGCCCCAGTCTTTAGGATGTTCTCAGTCTAACGTGGAAGAAGATTAAAAAGAATTACAATGCACTGCAAAAGGGAGATGTATGTACAAGGAGCTATAAGAACACAGAGGACGGAGCACCAACTCCTCCTGAAAAGATAGGACAGGTTTTCTAGAGGGGAGTACACTTGAGGTGACGCTTAAAGAAACAAGAAAGTTATGCATGAAAAAATATGGCCTGCTGACAGAAATGCCGATATGGCTGGAGACTGAATATATGTGAGAAAAGCGATACAAGAAGAGGTAACAAAAAGTTGAATAATATTAAAAATAATATGGTAATTAATATTTGAATACTTTGTGCCAGGTACTGTTGAAGCTTTTTATATAGACTGCCTCACGTAATCATCACAAAAAACACCTATGAAAAGTATACTGTTATTATCCATATTTTATGTAATTAGAATATTGGAGTTTAGAGCAGTTAAACCACTCGCTCAAGGTCACACAAGCTATTAAGTTGCAGAGCTGGGATTCAGACCTGAGCAGTACCAGAGTCCGCACTATTAATCATTTTGAAGCATTTTATATGCCAGTGTAGAATTTTAATCCAGGAAGTAACATACTTGGTTATATGTTAGAAAATACTATGGACAATGGCATGAAAGGGGTTAAGACTAGAGACAGAAAATCACAAGGAAGCTACTACAGTGGCCCAAGTTAGATATGAGGAGGACTTAAATTATAACAGAGGCAGTGGAGGCAAAACAAAGAGAATTATTTTAGAAGTAGAATCAATCAACAAGCCTTAATAACCAACTGACTAGGTAAGTGATGGAGAATGCCATCTCTAGGACGATTCCCAGGTATCTAGCCCAGGTGACTGAGGTAGACGGTAAGTGGCACGTATAAAGGAAAATGCAATAAAAGTTACAGTGCAAATAACCCATCAGAACAGCAGTTCAGTTTCTCAAAAGCAGGTTTCACACCAGCTTAAGCTGCTACTAAGTATAAGCAAAGGGCTAACAGCTGCCCATCAGTATTTTTAAGAGCAAGGGTTGGCAAACTATGGGTCTCAGGTAAATTCCAGAGCATTGCCTATTTTTGTACGGTCCACAAGCTAAGAATACTTTTTACACTTGTAAATAGTTGAAAAAACCAAAAGCTAGAATATTTCATGACATATCAAAATGATATGAAATTCAAATTTCAGTGTTCATAAATAAAATTTTATTCAAAACTGTCACTCTCATTTGTTTACATATCATCTGTGGTTCCTTTCTGATACAATGACAGAAATGAGTGATTGTGACAGAGGTCGCATGCTCCACAAGCCATTGTTAAGAACTTTGGCTTTCAGTGAAATAGGAAATCATTGGAATATTTGGAACTAAAGAATGATAGGATCCTGCTAACATTATGAATGTATCTCCCTACCTGCTATATGGAGACCTGGTGGTGCAGTGAGATTTAAGAGCTCAGGCTGCTAACCAAAAGGTCAGCAGTTCGAATTCACAAGCTGCTCCTTGGAAACCCTATGGGGCAGTTCTACTCTGTCCTAAAGGGTCGCTATGAGTCGGAATCAACTCGACAGCAACAGGTTACCTGCTATATAGAAAACAGACCATAGACAAGGCAATCAAAGGGTGAACACATGATCTGTTAGCAGGCCCTAAATGACACAGACTGGCTCAGGATGGTGCCACTGGAAGTGGTGAGAAGTGATTAGAATTCAGAGTATGTTTTGAAGGAAGAGAAGATAGGATTTGTTGATGGACTGGGTTTAGAATCACTCAGAACATGTGTTTGATTTTATACAGAAAAGGTGGGAGAGAAATACAATTAAGGACAATTCGAAGGTGTTTGGCCTGAGTAATGATAAAGAGAGAGGTATCACTTACTGAGATGGGAGGTCATGTTATCTTTTACAAACTGATTCGGTGCACTCTGGTACTGCTCAGGTTTGAATCCCAGCTCTGCAATTTAATAGCTTGTGTGACCTTGAGCAAGTGGTTTAATTGCTCTAAACTCCAATATCCTAATTATATAAAATGTGGATAGTAACAGTATACTTTTCATAGTTTTTTTTTGTGATGATTACATGAGGCAGTCTATATAAAAAGCTTCAATAGTGCCTGGCACAAAGTATTCAAATATTAATTGTCACTATTATTCTTAATATTATTCAACTCTTTGTTACTTTTTTCAATCTCTTCTTGTATTGCTTTTCTCACATGTATTCACTTTGTGATAATTCACTGAGTTACATATTTATATGTACACCTTTCTGCAAATAGATTATCCTTTGATTAAAAGGTTTTTTTAAAAAAATAATCATTTTGAAAGTTGTTTATATTAGCTGTTTCAATTTCTTCTCTTATTTGCTGAACCCACTTCGATCAGTTTCTGACTACTCTAGTGGAATTTCTTTATTATCTCTACATAGAAGGCTCCCAAATTTATATCTTCAGGAAGGACCTCTAATCTGTAGACTCTTATGTCCAACTGCCTGTTCAGCATTTCCACTTGGCTGTCTAACGATCATCTTTATTTACTTTGTCCAAAACTAAACACCTAGGTACTTTGAAGTTTTGCTTAAAAGGAAGCAGAAGAATGGAGCAGAGGCTGAAGGTATATAGTTATCAACAGAAGTTTTTGTTTGTTTGTGTTTAACATAGAATAACAATAGCATAGTTGTATGTTAATCAGAAATGGCCCAATAAGGAATAAAAAATAGAAGATATGAGAAAGAAGACAATGACTAAAGCAACATCTTTGGGTAGAAGGGTATGGGACCTGGTATACAAGCAGACTGGCCTCATTTAGGGACATAGACATTTTATGATATCACAGCAGGAAAGAAAAGTACATGGGTGAATATACAGGTAGGGTGATAGAAGTTATGGCAGTGTGTGAAAGTTCTCTTCATACTTGTACCTCCTTGATGAGACAGGAAGCAGATCCTCAGGTTGCAAGGTCAGAGCATTGGCTCTGGGGTCAAACTCTGGGTTACACCCCCAGCTTCATCACTTAATACTTGTGTGACCTTGGGCAAGCTACTCAACTTCTCAACGCATCAGTTTTCTCATTTGCTAGTTTGTAAGATTGCTTTATTAAATGAGGTAATAGTAAAGCACTCAAAACTGGATCTGACAAAGTATTCAATAAGTGTTAGCTATTATTATCAACCATGAATGAGGAGAAAAGATGTTTGAAGCTTCAGGAGAAAAGGGATGAGATGGTTTGTAGCAGTGATAAAGTCAACAAACCAGGAAAGTACAGCCAAAAGAGTAAGGGCTTACTTGAGGTTGATGGTCATGGATTTAAAGACCAATCAGCAAGGTTCAGATATAGAGGAGGCAGAGTTGAATTGGGTTTCGAACTTTCTGGGCAAGTACAATAGAGGGAAAGAGAGTTGAATGGAGTGATTATGATGAATTACGGAATCCAAGCTGAGTAAAGAAGAGAGGACATGAGGGAGGTGAGGGCGGGGGAAGAGGTAGTGGTGCTAATGGACTGTATGTTAGGGAAGAGTAGAAAATATGTTGGAGTTAGTTTTCTAGAGGAAATGCTGAAATCAGCATGATCAGAAATTGAGATGCTTTTAGGAGAACATGGCCTGGTTGGAACTAAAAAGCCAGAGTACTCGTAGGACCTTCTACCAGAATTTTGAAATCATGAAGAGAAATGACAGTAGTACTTTTGAAAATATCATGAGCCAGATGCAAAAATATTGACAGTAATGTTTCACTGTAACAAGGAGTATGAGTGGGAGAGTCTGAAAACGGAGCTTCACGCTGTTTTATTGTTGCTTTCTTTTTGTTTGTTTGTTTTTAAGGAAACCATAGTCTGGAAGAGGAAATGAGAAGCAAGGAGGTCCACTATCACACCAAGAGAAACAGGGTCCTAACAATAGGCAAGAAAACACAACTTGAAAGGGCTGCAATGAAAGCATTGTTCTCAAGGGAGAACCAGGTAATGAAGTTCAGCAAGGTAACAAACAAAGGAGGGAATGTTTGCTTAGAAAGGAGATGTGATAATCAAAGACAGTGAGCCAAAGAGCACAGGAGAGTTTAGAGAGCTGCGGGAATGTACGAAGTGATTCAAATCAGGGGATGCTCAAAGAGAAAGGAGACAAATAGACATGTAGTATTTCCTAGAAGTCCTAGAATTCTTTTAAATGATGTTAAAATAACTACAGTATGAGGAGTATGGTTTGTTTTCCTGCCTGTACTTGATTGCTATATGTGGCAAATTAAATTAAAGGGGCATGGTGGGATTAGTCCTGTGTTTGAGGCAGACAGTTGGTGGTAAAGCTGTGAGCACTGGGAAGGAATAGTGAGGTTTTTCCCAAAGGAATGAGGAGCTCTGAGGCCCTTTCCTCATTCCTAATTAAGGGCTCTGAGGAGGCTAAGAGAGAATAATGTCATCAGGAGCACACATTACACAGTGGGCTCTTCTTCATTTCTTCAGGTGGTATTCTGGGGCTGGCACTTTACTGGGCCTTCCGCTCAGGGCCTGGACTAAGGGCAGGCAGCTGAGGTATTTCTCTTGGGTGTAAAACAAGGAAGCACCAAGAAACTCAGTAGGTAAGATAAATATTGCAATGAAATATTTTTTTTTAAAAAAATTAGTGTAGAAAATTCATGATGAATAAAAATATTAAAATTGTAAATAAGGGCAGGATCACAAAAAGTTCAGAATTCGCCTCAACACTACATTTGCCTTATCTTCACTAGCAGATCGGTACAAGTTAACACAAGTTTATCAACAGCAGATTTACAAAACCAAAAGAAACAGAAAATACACCCTTTAGAGGTGTACTTTCATTACAGGTTTTATAAAAAAGACTCACCTGCTTTCTTCTTCAGGCTTAATTTCTCTCTGTTACTAATATGTTTTGAGATGGGTGTGGTGACTTTTTTTGCTTTTTTAACAGTTGATTGTTTACATTCCACAGGAGAAAAATGGATTCTTTTGATTTCTTGTACTTCTGTAGGTTCCGTAACTGCACCCCTCACATTTGCATTTTCTGTGCTTCCAGCACTCTTTCTTTTACGAGCAACTAAAACTGTCTTCGAGGAAGATGGAGTTACTTCATTTTTATGATAGTTAAATTTACTAACAATTGGATCTATAATCGGAAGGTACGAATGAAAAGATTCTTTCTCTTTTTGATTATCTGCTATTACTTTTTCCAGTTCACCTACTGCAGTGTTGAGACATCTTTTTGCCTTTGATTTATTAGTTTCAATTTGTTTTTCTCTGGCACAGTTGGACTTCCTTTTAGTAACAGTGGTGGAAAGTATTGGACGTCTCTTAGATTGTTTATTGTAATTATAACTAGAAATATCCTGAAATGCAGAAAATTTAGGATGATTTTGTTTTGTAACACTGTAGTAATTTGACTTCATTTCTACAGTTTTGGGTTGTTCAAAAATAGCCTTGGGAGATTTTGAATTCTGACATCCATGAGTACATGGTAAAACTTTTTTTCTCCAATCTTGAGGAGGTTGTGGGGCCTGAGAATTCTTATTTGATAGTGGTGATAATTTGCATGCTTGCTGAGATGTACACATATATGCCATGTTATCTTTTACAAATTGATTCGGTGATAGAATGGGTTTAACTGACTCTGATTCTAGATCCTGACTTAGTCCGTAATTATCATTTACAAACGAATCTGGACTTAAAATAGTCTGATAAATTTCATGTACAATTTTGGGTTCCAAACGCATAGGCTTTGAATTATCTTTCATAAATTTATCAGATGAAAGACATGTGACTAATTCTACTTCATTATTAGCTGCATGGCTATTATGTACAAAGGAGTCTGGACTTAGAAAATTTCCTTTACTTTGTGTAATATTCAAAGTTGAAGAACAGTTTGGGGTAAGGATAAGCCTGTTATTCTCTTCAATTTGGCCATCAGTGTTATTTAGGGAGTTAAAGGATGTTTCAGTTAAGGTTTGCTCATTAAAATTAAAATCTTTCAAAATGGTGGAACCTTCCACTTTCAGCAATTCCACGTTTTCAGATGCATGAAGAGATGAGTAGGTCGTAGATCGACGTATAGAAGATGATAAGCAAGTCTCATCACAGCATTCTTTGAAAGAGGGGCTAATAGGTGATATAGGTATTCTATTTTGTTCAAGGATTAAAGAATTATTTTCTGTTGGAGAACAGACTTCAGTCATAGTCAAATTTTCACAGGCTTGTAGTGGGCTCCTAACAGTGTCAACTATTTTGGAAACATTAAATGTTTTATTAACATTTTGACTATGTGAAATCCTTTTGTTATGACTTGAAGAGTTTGAAACAGTCTTCTTATTAATGGTATCCCAAAGACTCCTCTGCAGAAAATAAGCAAAATATACCAAATAAGTGGATAGCTATTGAATATTATCTTTAAATAACCAATATAATGTATGTTACTTGTTTTAAGCTCATTAACAAAATAATTTTGACAGGGTATTAAACATTTTCTTAGAGGAAATCACAAAATGATTAAAAGTTATTACCTTTTTCTTTTTCCGCTCTTCTGCATTTCCCAGCAATATGGCTTGGTGTTTCAGAACATCATTTACAAGAAATGTCACAATCTCTCTTACTCGGCCTTCTTTGAATGGTGTCCAGTTAACAGAAATTACAATTTTTTCTTTAGGCTATGATCCAAAAAAAATACATTTTAAATGACTATGACAATAGTCGTATATAATAACTAAACCACATTCTATAAAACTTAGAATATAGTAGGGAACTAATATTTGTTAGTCACCAACAATTTATACCCTAATAGCACTTAACGAGTTAAATATATTTTTCTTACCCTATGCCATCATTTCATTATAAGGAAAAAAGCCACTATGAATAGTAAGGCTCACAACAAAATAAAATTATAATAAAATCTTAATTGTTCAGGGAAGCAATGAAACAGATAATCTCCAAAACATTTTATTGTAGTTGAGTGTTTTTAATTTAAACATATATTGCTACTTCTTTAGATATGTACACTACTTCTATTTCAGATATAATGAACCTGCACTATGAACTAAAAACTCCTTCCTCCTACAAACTCCTCTGAAGTCCACATCATCATCATTACTAATATTTATTAATCACTTATTACATTCCAGGCATATGTGCATACCTGCCCAGGTATAGGCAGTCCATACAGCATCTGGACTACATGTTCTAGCAACTGTTCCTCATGCTTTATGGGAAATGCTGTCAGCCAATAGCTACATTAAACCAAAAAAACAAACCCATTGCTGTCAAGTCGATTTCTACTCATAGCGACTCTATAGAACAGAGTAGAACTCCTGTGTGCCTGTTTTTTATTTTCACCCCCAGGGCATTTACCTCAATTCACAAAAGATACTTGAGATTCAGTCTTCACCACAGGAACTAGGCCTAACAAGTATTTTCCTGTGGAACACCCTGGCCCTGGTTAAACTCTCCATTCAATGTCTCCTTCCCCCAAAACTTTGCTAATAGCTGTGAAAATAAAAGCATAGATCCTACATTTGCTTAACAATCTTTGCTGTAGGCATGAGTTGGCATTCCAAGACAGCAAAGTGCTTTTTAAAAAAATTCAGCAGGAGCCTTTCCTTTCTACTCCCCCACCAGTAGAAGGAAGGAATTACCAGGATTAAATGAGTATCTTATAAACTCCTTTAATCCTCACATCCCTAGGATGCAGGTATTATGTTTATGCATATTTCACAGATGACGAGTCCAGAAAGCTTTAAGTATCTTGCCCAAAGTCAGACAGCTGGTAATTAGAAGTCCAGGGCTTCGAACCAGTTCATTCAGTTAGAACCCTTGCTGAGAATTTGCATTTCCACCCCAGATATAGAACCTATAGTTTAACAAGATCCCCAGGTGATTCTTATGTATAATAAATTTTGAGAACCACTGCTCTCTCTACTAGTGGTTCTCAGAACTGGTCCCTAACCAGTAGCATTAGCATCCCTTGGAACTTGTTAGAAATGCAAATTCTTAGCAGGGATTCGAACCAAAAAGAACTGGTTTGAAGCCTGATTAGAATCCAGGCGGTCTGACTCCACAGGCCTGGCAGGTAGATAGAATCACCTTTTCTTCCAAATGCAAAACCCTGACGTTACAAAACAAACTCTGTGTCTGCTGTTTTTCAAGGAAAAAAAGATGAGTTTTCATTTTATAGGCAAAACCATATAACATGATAAACAGCTGGTTTAAAAAAAACAAGAACAGTGAACTTTATAAAACAGTAAATTCCAATAAGATAAAATATTTTAGTTCCACATTATGACAAAAGAAATTAGTAAAAGTATTATGTAGTAGAAATATGTTTCCATAGAAAGGATAAGAAGCAATCATTCATAAAAGAAACTAGGGTTTAGTAAAGTCCTGAAGTGTAGGTGAAACACTGATAATACAGAATTCACTGGACCTCATATCAGAGCCTCTTCTCACTGCCTTGTGAAATGGCTAATGGTTTCTTTTCACACTTTCAGAGGTTCTACTCCATGAAAGGAGCCCTGGTGGGGCAGTGATTAAGAGCTACCGCTAGCCTATGGCTGCTAACCAAAAGTCGGCAGTTCAAATCCACCAGCAGATCCTTGGAAACCCTGTGGGGGCAGTTCTACTCTGTCCTGTTGGGTCCCAATGAGTCGGAATCAACTTGATTTCAACGTGTTTGGCTTTTTTGGTTTTTCTCAATGAAAAGCCAGAGCAGTCAAAATAAGAACATAAATTCTCTGTTTTTTGGTGACAGGAATGCAACATTACGCTGGCCAGTGCAATGCAGTAAAAGCTAAGGGGGAGGTTCCTGAGACAACATTTATAAAATGGAATTTGATTCACTATTAAAACTGCACTGACGGCAAAGGGGGATTAAAAAACTAACGTGTGCATACACACCACACGTGCATGCTGAAAACAACCCTAGAGAAGTTTTTTGCTGTAGACACTTAGCCAAATCAAAGTTCAGTATTTTACCAGAAAAAGCAGTTAGCTAGACTCTAAAGATACCTATGGAAACTAAAATGCATCTTAAGACGGCTGATAGAACCCACCAAAAAAAAACAAAAAAACAAGCCAGCTGCCTTCGAGTCGATACCGACTCATGGTGACCCTACAGAAAGCACTCAGAAAAGCTGCTCTCATCAACGTACTCCAGGTATTCTTTTAAGAAAAAAATAAGAGGGCTGACAATAAAATTACTATTTATTTAGGACTGCAAGAGCCTTTCACAATGCCTGAAGTCTATTTAAAATGTTCCTCTATTTGCTACAGAGTCCTGGTAGCCCAGTGGTTAAACCGTTGGCTATTAACCAAAAGGTCGGCAGGTCGAATCCAGCGGCTGCCTCTTGGAAATCCTATGGGGCAGTTCTACCCTGCCTTATAGGCTCACTATGAGTTGGACTCAATGACAATAATTTTTTTTGGGGGGTGGTTATTTAATAGAGAATGGGGACAGTGGTGGTTCAGTGGTAGAATTCTTGCCTTCCATGGCAGTTAGATTACTGTCAATGTACATTATGCGCAACCACTAACCATCTGTCAATGGAAGCTTCCTTATATGTTGCTGTGATGCTGAACAGGTTTCAGCGGAGCTTTCAGACTAACATGGACTAGGAAGAAAGGGCTGGCGACCTGCTTCTGAAAATTAGCCAATGAAAACTATGGATTACAACAGATCATGGGGATGGCGCTGGACCAGGCAGCGTTTTATTCAATTGTGCATGAGTGCTGCTGCCTTGGCAGCTAACTACAACAACAACATTTAATAGACAAAAACAAAAAACCATTGCTGTCCAGTCAGTCTGACTCATAGCGACCCTATAGGATAGAGTAGAACTGCTCTATGGGTTTCCAAGACTGCAATCTTTACTGAAGCCAACCGCCACATCTTTCTCCCAGGGAGCGGTTGGTGAGTTCTAACCGCAGATCTTTGGGTTAGCAGCTAAGCGCTTACCCACTGCGCCATCAAGTCTATATAAATGCTTTAAACATTCTATGAGCGCATATTAATGTGCTGTCACCATCCAAGTTACCCTCTACCCTGGCGTTCTATACAGGGGCCGAGGATTCTCCCACAGCAGTTAGTGAAAAGGAATTGACTTCACTCCTTACGGGTATTTTTCAAGCCACATCCCTTTGGATAAAGGCAGCAGGAAAGATGGCGGAGACTGTGGGCAGTGGCCCGGGGGGCGCCCCTCCCACGACCTACCTGCAACACGAAACAGCGCTGAGAGATGCTAAAGCCCCGATCTGCTGCAGGAAAGCGGCAGATCTTCACTTCAGCCACCTCCTCGTTGGGGTTGTCTAGGGCCAGAGACAGCGTCCGAGAGGATCCCAGGCGAACATCCCCGAAGCAGAGGAAAGGCGACTTGCAAAAGTGGCTCAGAGACAGGACCGGCGGGGAAGCCGCCTCCTCTTCGTCCCGGGGCCGCCGCAGTACTGCCGGCGTCCTCCGCTCGGTCGGGCTCAGCTCCCAGTAGCTTCGCCCCACACGCCGGGTCGCCATGACAGCTCCGAGAACCCCGCAGGACCTCTACCAAGACTGCTGACAGCTTCCCCTCAAGGCCGGCTGTGGAGGTCGTGAAAGGTGATTCAGCCACCGTTCTTTTCCAGTTACCAACACTCGAGAAAAAAGGAAACGAACTCCGTTACTTTGCAAACTCAAAAGAGGTGCCAAACAGCAACAGCTTTCTGTCTTTGTTTAAACTTCCCGCTTCCACCAATGAGCACCTCCGGGTACTGCCCACCTGATCACAGAGCCAATCACTGAGCAGCAGCAGCCACTGGCCAATGAGGCGGCAGCGCCTAATTTAAACAATTGTACCAGGCGCCAGTTGCTCTTCGCTGCTGAAGCGAAAACGGTGAGGTAGTTCTGCAGACTCCCTAAAACCGGCTGCTTAGTAAAATTCGCTTTTAGAATTTCTGTCAACAGGTTGTGTTGAAGCGAGGAGAGTAACAGCGTTTCCAAAATAAATGTAGTAATCATTGGAGCTGCCAGGCACAACCTTAGGTAAAACCCGTAAGTAGGCAACAGTTAAATCTCTCTTCTCATCCAACGTACCCCGCCCAGAATTATATGAATTTACTTGCGCGGTTTCCTGGGGCTGAATGGGAGCAATATGAGGAAAATTAAAACGACAGTGAGTGTGAACGTGCTTATTTCAGTGACCGACCAAAGCCAGGGCTCAGTAAATTTGCATTCGGATTCTTACCTCGGGATGCTGGAAACATGACACAAGGTAAATGAAACCTAAGATTCCCAGTCGTTCATAAGTTACCTTTTGACAGGCAATGCCTTTGACAAATAACTTCTTGGCTTTTATTTTAATTGTAGTTATCTAGTACTTCGAAGTCTGGGTAGCACAAGTGGTTTGCCACTGGCTGCTAAGCTAAAAGTTGGCAGCTCGACCCATCCACTGGCTCAGAGGAAGAAAGGCCTGGTGATTTGCTTCAGTAAAGATTACAACCAAGAAAAGCCCATAGAGCAGCTCTACTCTGTAACACATGTGGTCGCCAGAACTCCGTGGCAACTAGCAACAATAACAATCTGGTAGTTAATATTATAGCATACACAGTACTATTACTATATGCCAGGGATTGTTTTAAGCACTTCACATATTTATCTCAATCTTCACCTCAACCCTATGAGATATCTACTATTATTTGTATTTTACTGATGAGTAAACTGAGGGAGAGAGAGGTTAAGTAACTTGCCTAAGGGCATACAGCTAGCTAGGAAGTGGCAAAGCCGGGATATGCACCCAGGCAGTTTGGCTCCAGTCTGGCTCTTACCCAGTATACAATGCGGCCTCTAAATTTACTTTGGCGAACTCCTTAAAAAAAAAAAAAATCAATGTATGGATGTGCGTATGGGCACACAAAACATGTAGAAAGAAAAGTCCCTGGGTGGAAAAACAAAATGAGGAAGCTGAGATATGAAATTATGTTCAATGACACTCCAGTTTGGCCTGAGGTTGAACCCTGTTACCTTCAACAATTTTTAAACAAATAAAATTTTTTTTAATCCTTCAAGATTGATGCACAATGAAAACACTACTCTTGAAACATAAAAATGTATAATTTTATTTTTAACAAAAATTCTAATATTAATCATTTTCAAATTTGCTTAATTTACATTTATTATTTCATACTGTGAATGTTATTCATCAAATCAATGTAAATACCAGCCCTATTAAGGTAAAAAAAATCACTCAAATGTTTCCTTCAACTCCTTTAACATGATGATAGCATAATTTTATTCATATATGCTCACACTTCATAGATTTTTTCATAAAGCATAGCTGTTGGCTCACAATTTAAAAAAAAAAAAAGAATGAACTACATTTGTAATTTTTTATCTGCCCCTCCACTTCCATTCTCCACACTTAAATGGGTGCACATTACCCATTTAATATATTGACACAAGTACGACTTTCATAGTTTGTTAGGTTCACTAATTGCTGGCTGGCTTCAACAGTTGTTTACAGTCAATTAGGTTGAAATGCTGGAACCTCCATGGCATTCTGTAGAGTCCAAAGGCTTGGAAAGATGGGAATGTTGGAGGGCATCTATATGTGAAACCTACTCAGCCACCCCAAAACATACATGCCCCTTGAAATTCTCCCTTTACCAAGGCATTAAATACATTGATGAGGGGGACTCGAATATCCTTGAAGAGTCCTGTGATAACTGTTTCCAATGGGCCAGGAAGGATGGTAGGGGATGCTATGAGAACGGGTTATCTTATCCCAATGTGAATGATAGAGCCTACAAGTGATAAAGGATAGTGGCATTTAACAGACAAGATGGTAGCACCACAGCATGTCGAGGACTGAGTAGTAATTACAGGTAGGGATCTGTGGCACTGGCTTACTGATCAAGGGATCAGTATAAATAAGATGGGTTCTGCTTGACATGTTGTTGTTGTTAGGCGCTGTCGGTTCTGACTCATAGCAACCCTACAGGACAGAGTAGAACTGCCCCATAGCGTTTCCAAGGAGCAGCTGGTGGATTTGAACTGCCAACCTTTTGGTTGGCAGCCCAGTTCTTAAACACTAAGTCACCAGGGCTCCCGCTTGACATATATATGCAGAAAAAATCTAGATCTGCAGAGCAGAAACCTAACAAGCCCACAGACCCACAGACCCTTAACTAAGGAAAGGACTTGCCCCTATGAGAAAAGATTCTGCAACATGGATACACCTTACAATACAGGAGTCACCATACTAATAATTATTAGTCACCGAAAATTTATACCTACTATCAACCTTAATGCAAACTTTCTTCCAGAGAGAACTGCAGCAATTTACCAATGTAACTATGGAGTGGGGAAAGGGGAATACCCAGACCTTCCAGGGGTTATTAGATTCTGTCTTCCTCCTACACTGCAGAAACATAAAATGACACCATGGACCACTAGTTAGATGGAAGCTTGTGGACATTAGGGGATAGATGGCATCTAGGCCTGAATCTCTCAGAGCACCCAGTAGGATGGGATTCATCCAGTTCCAGAATACAAAATGAGTAGACATATTTAGTAACTGGCAGAATTCTCACGCTGGTTTCCAATTCTAAGGAGTAAAGGCGATTATGGTAGAAAGGGTCGAGAAGCCCCTGAAACCCTCTTCCCCATTCCTCCAAGATGTAAAGTAAAAAGCAATACTAAAGTAAAGAAGCAAAACCCTGGGTCCAAAGGACATGCTATTCTCCTGGCTCTCTCTGCTTTCTTGGTGGTATGCAGTCGTCTTGCTGAGGAGCTCCTCAGCTGGGGAAGGTTGATGACAAGGACCTTTCCCTCAGAGCCGACAGAGGGAGAAAGCCTTCCCCTGGAGCTGGCACCCTGAATTCAGACTTCTAACCTAGACTGTGAGAGAATAAATTTCTCTTTGTTAAAGCCATCCACTTGTGGTATTTGTTATAGCAGCACTAGATAACCAAGACAGGATTTGATACTGAGAGAATACGGTGCTGCTCTAACAGATACCTTAAATGTGGAAGCAGTTTTGAAATTGTGAATGGATAGAGGCTGGAAGAGTTTTAAAATGCCTCACAGTAAAAGCCTGGATTTCCTTGAAGAGACTGTTGGTGGAATTATGGATGTCAAACACAATTCTGGTAAGAACTCAGAAGGAAATGAGGAGGGCTGTTACACCACCGGTGATGGTGCAGATGATGAGAAGCCGCATCAGAGAAACGGCAGTAACAGAGAAACGGCAGCAGCAGAACTAGAGACCAGTGGGAGACCACGCTGGAGCCAACCCGCAGAGTGAGAGAGCTGAATGCCTTTGAGTGGGAGGCTTCCTGGAGGAGTAGGGTGTCTCTGGGCACTTACAGGTGGAGCTAGGCTTGACTACCCAAGGCAAGAGAGCTGAGTGCCTTCAGGCGACAGTTTACTGGCTGAGTGAGGTGCCTCCAGGCACTTATCAGTGGAGTTAAAGAGCTTTGGAACACTTGCCCCAGCATGGCAGATATGGAGAGTGTCATGGATTGAATTGTGTCCCCCACAAAATATCTGTCAACTTGGCTAGGTCATGATTTCCAGTATTGTATGATTGTCCACCATTTTGTCATCTGATGTGATTGCCCTATGTGCTGTAAATCCTATCACTATGATGTAATGAGATGGATTAGTGGCAGTTATATTGATGAGATCTACTACAAGATTAGATAGTGTCTTAAGCCAATCTCTTTTGAGATATAAAAGAGAGAAGTGAGCAGAGAGAGATGGGGACCTCAAACCACCAAGAAAGCAGTGCTGGGAACAGACCATGTCCTTTGGACCTGAGGTTCCTGTGCTGAGATGCTCCCAGACCAAGGGAAGACTGATGACAGGGACCTTCCTCCAGAGTTGACAGAGAAAGCCTTCCCCTGGAGCTGGTACCCTGAATTTGGAATTCTAGCCTACTGGCCTGTGAGAGAATAAGCTTCTCTTTCTTAAAGCCATCCACTTGTGGTATGTGTCATAGCAGCACTAGATGACTAAGACAGGCAGTGAAGCCCAAGAGGCCTAGAGGCCAAGAAACCAGGAAACAGAAGCTGAAGAGACAAGGAACACACAGGAAGCAGACCTGCCTGAGTCTCAAAGGGTAGGGCCACAACCTCTGGCATCTCAAAGGGTGGAGCCACAGCCTCCTAGGTTTCAAAGAGTCAGACAGATCTTCACCAACTCGGGGTTCCAGAGTGTGGGGTTGCCAGTCACAAGTGCCAGCAGGATGGGGCCAGATCTGCTGCCCAAAGTTGAGGGGGAAGGGCTGCCATGTCTAAGGGCCAGAAGAATGGGGCCTACAGGGGCGAGAAGGTGGAGTTGCCACTCAGTGGAGCCGCCCAAATGCGATGGAGCAGAGCTGCTGTCCCAGTGGGCCTGGAATGAGGAGCTGAAGCCCAGGGCAGAAGGGCTTCCACTCATAAACCGGAGAGTGTAGCCAACATCCAGAGCCTGAGGGCAGGGCCATTGCGTAAATGGTGTCAGAGAACAGAGGATTATTTTCAAGCCTTGAGGCTAAGGTAATGTGTTCTGCTGGCTAGCTTGGTGCCCTCCAATTTCTCCCGTTTGTAATGGAAATGTCTACCTTGTGCCTGTTCTACAACTGTGCTTTGGAAGCAGATAGCTTGTATTCTAGATTCTACAAATGAAGAATTTTTGGATTTTGGACTTGGAGTTGATTTAAAACTTTTGCTATGATATGATCGGGTGAATGTGTTTTACATGAGGCAATGACATGAATTTTGGGGAGACCTCACACCACCAAGAAAGTAGTGCCAGGAGCAGAGTGTGTCCTTTGGGGTCCCTGTGCTGAGAAGCTCCTAGTCCAGGGGAAGATTGATGGCAAGGACCTTCCTCCAGAACCGACAGAGAGAAAGCCTTCCCCTGGAGCTGATGCCCTGAATTTGGACTTCTAGCCTGCTAGACTGTGAGAGAATAAACTTCTGTTTGTTGAAGCCATCCACTTGTGGTATTTCTGTTATAGCAGCACTAGATAATCAAGA